GAATTGTATGTCACGACCCCAAAACCAACCCGGTCGTGATGGAGCCTATCATGGAACTAGGCCAGCTGACACATTCCCAAAATAATACGATATTTCATTAAAATTTAGATAATAACCTTTTTCATACTAAATTTCCATAAAGAGATGAATTCAAAATCAAATGCGGAAATAAAAGCCCGATCTCGGGTGTCACTAAGTCGTGAGCAAATACTACAACTGTCCGAAATATAACAAGACTAAAACAGTTTGGAAATCAACTACAAATATCTATAGGGAAATAGGAAGGATAAAAACAAGGCTGCGATCGCCATGCAGCTACCTTTCCAACTCAAAAATATCCGCGACGGATGAAGAATCAACGCTTCGCTAACACGTCCGGCAACCCCTGGATTTGCACGCAAGGTCCAGGGAGTAAGGTAAGTACGCCAACTCAGTAAGTAATAAAGGTAAATAAAGACTGAGCAGTAGGAAACATATAGAAATCCACATCGTGAAAACTCGATAAGTACAACATGTTTTCAAAGCAGTATATGAGTCAAATCATCTCGTTTAAAATCCAGTTTTCGGTAAAAATCATTTGAAGATGCTTTTCAACAGTTTCAACAGAGTCTCAATGCAATTTAGAGTAAAAGTGACAAAAATTATAAACAGCCCCTCAGGCAAAACATAGTTCGTATACGGCCCCTCGGGCAACGTGAGTCATAAATCGCCCCTCGGGCGTAACATCACTCAGAATCAACCCCTTGGGAAAACCTCGCAGTCACTCGTACACAGCCCCTCGGGCACAACATGAATCAAGAACAGCCCCTCGGGCAAAACATCATATCACTCACTCACGGTACCCGCGCTCACTGGGGGTGTGCAAACTCCGGAGGGGCTCCTACAGCCCAAGCGAAATATCAAGCCACCTCGTGGCATAATCAATCAGGCCCTCGGCCTCTCATAATTAGAATCAGTAACAACATGCTACGGCACGCAGCCCGATCCTATATATCCTCACAACACAGGCCCTCGGCCTCACTTAGTCAAAAACCTATCAAGCCACTCGGGCAATTAGTAAACAGGGTGCTCAGCCCAAAATATCATTTTATGCATCAAAACGGAGTAATAAAGACTGAGTTATGATATCAGTAAAACATAGCATGACTGAGTACAGATCTTAAATCAAAATAGTGAGGAAATAATAAGAAAAGGTCTCTAAGAGTCCAAACAGCTTTGACACGAGGCCCAAATATGGCATTCAGCCCAAATTATAGAAATCCTTTCTAAAACACATAAGTATCCTATAGTTTTCAGTCAAATATGCAACTTAATAGTTGCTACGGGACGTACCAAGTCACAATCCCCAACGGTAAACGCCCAAACGCTCGTCATCTAGCATGTGCGTCACCTCAAAATAGTGAAAACGATGCGAAATCTGGGGCTTCATACCCTCAGGACAAGATTTACACTCATTACTTACCTCAAACCGGTCAAATCTCTACTCCGCGACGCCCTTGCCTCTGGAATCGGCCTCCAAACATCCCGAGTCTGACCAAAAGCAATACAATGCAATAAATATAGGCCAATGAACCAATTCCAAACGAAAAATTATCAAATTATACCAAAATCCCGAAATTCACCCAAACCCGGTCCCCCGGGCCCAAGTCTCGGAATCCGACAAAAATAACAAAATTAGAAACTCATTTCACTCACGAGTTTATACATATCAAAATCTGACATCAAATGGTCCCTCAAATTCTCAAATTAAACTCTCCAATTCCAAGCCCTAATCCCTTCAATTTCATCTCTAATTTCTACTAATTTCATGCTTAAACAACTGAAAATCACCATAATCAGGAGTGTTAGGCTCAAGAAACTTACCACAATAAAGAACCCCTTGATTCCCTCTTCAAAACTCCCCAAAAGCTCCAATCACGTCTTCAAAAATGGAGGATATAGGCAAAAATTCGCGAAGGGTTTAATTTATACCTTCTGCCCAGGCATTTCCGCAGCTGCGGCCTTTTCTCGCACCTGCGCAACCGCTACTACGGTCCAATCAACCGCACCTACGATTTTCACTTAAACGCCCAGGACCGCATCTGCGCCCCAGGCACCGCACCTGCGGTCTCGCAGATGCGTCAAACACACCGTATCTGCGATTCTTCCCTTAGCCCCCAAATTCCGCATCTGCAGCTTCCCTACCGTATCTGCGACCTCGCACCTACGGTCCCCAATCCGCAGGTGCGGAAACATCAGAAGCAGCAGCTTCAGCTGCACAATCACAATTCCAACTCTTCCGTTAACAATCCGAATTCATCCCGAGGCCCTCTGGACCTCAACCAAAAATACCAACAAGTCACATATTACCATTCAAACTTGTTCAAACCTTTGGGACACTCAAAACACCAAATTACCCTCGGATTCAAGCCTTAGAACTTCCAAACTTCCGAATTTCGTAAACGATGCCGAAACCTATCAAACCTCGTCCGATTGACCTGAAATGTTGCACACACGTCACAAATGACACTACGGACCAACTCCATTTTCCAGAATTTCATTTTGACCCCGATATCAAATTTCCACTACCGGCCGAGAAACGCCAAATTTTCAATTTCGCCAATTCAAGCCTAAATCTACCACGGACCTCCAAATTATATTTCGGATGCGCTCCCAAGTCCAAAATCACCTAACAAAGCTAACCGAGACATCGGAATTCCCATCCGAGATTATTTACACATAAGTCAACATCCGGTTGACTTTTTCCAACTTAAGCCTTCTCAAAAGAGACTATGTATCTCAATTCACTCCAAAACCACTCCAAACTCAAACCAACCAACACCGATACGATGAAATACGGCTGAAGAACACATAAAGAAGCAGAAATGGGGGAAACTGGGCTATAACTCATGAAACAATCGGCCGGGTCGTTACATCCTCCCCCTCTTAAACAAACGTTCGTCCTCGAACGAGTCTAGAAACATACCTGAACCTCAAACAGGTGTGGATATCTGCTCCACATCTCCTGCTCGGTCTCCCAAGTAGCCTCCTGCACGGGCCGACCTCTCTACTTTCACTGAAGCTATATCCTTTGATCTCAATTTTCAGACCTGCCGCTCCAAAATAGCCACTGGCTTCGCATCATAAGTTAAATCACCGTCTAACTGAACCGTGCTGAAATCCAAAACATGAGACGGATCGCTGACATACTTTCGGAGCATAGAAACATGAAATACCGGATGCACACCCGACAAGCTAGATGGAAAAGCAAGCTCATAAGCCACGTCCCTAATCCTCCGAAGCACCTCAAAAGTCCCAATGAACCAACAACAACAACAACAAGCCCAGTTTGATCCCAACAAGTGGGGTCTGGGGAGGGTAGTCTGTACGCAGACCTTACCCCTATCTAATTCAGGTAGAGAGGTTGTTTCCAATAGACCCTCGGCTCAGGAAGGGCAAGAAGAAGAAGAGGAAAGCAAGGGAGGAAGAAAGATGGAAGATAAAAAAATTTAAAAAAAAAAAGGATAAGTGGCACCAAATAATAGCAACAGGGAATACAATACCCGAGGCGAACAAAATCACATAACCTACTAAAAATCTAAGACTGTGAAGGGACTCGCCTACTACTAAGACTATCAGTGAACAACTATAAACTACCAACTAACCTTCTACCTTAATCCTCGACCTCCACCCTCTCCTATCAAGGGTCATGTCCTCAGTGAACTGAAGCAGCGCCATGTCCTGCCTAATCACCTCTCCCCAATACTTCTTAGGCCTACCTCAACCTCTTCTCAAACTCTCCATGGACAACCTCTCACACCTCCTAACTGGAGCATCACTGCTTCTTCTCTGAACCTGTCCAAACCATCTCAGCCTCGACTCCCGCATCTTGTCCTCCACGGAGGCTACTCCCACTCTGTCCCGGATATCTTCATTCCTAATCCTATCTCTCCTGGTACACTCACACATCCATCTCAACATCCTCATCTCTGCTACTCTCATCTTCTGCACGTGGGAGTTCTTGACTGGCCAACACTCAGCCCCATACAGCATAGCCGGTCGAACCACCACTCTATAAAACTTACCCTTAAGTCTTAGCGGCACATTCCTATCACACAAAACGCCGGAAGCGAGACTCCACTTCATCCATCCCGCTCCAATACGATGCGCGACATCTTCATCAATCTCCCCGTTTCCCTGGATAATAGACCCGAGATACTTAAAACTCGCTCTCTAGGGGATAACTTGAGCATCAAGCTTAACCTCTACGTCTGCATCGTGGGTCCCGTCACTGAACTTGCACTCCAAGTATTCCGTCTTGGTTCTACTCAATTTAAAACCTTTAGACTCCAAGGTCTGTCTCCAAACCTCCAACCTCGCGTTAACTCCGCTACGCGTCTCGTCAATCAGCACTATATCATCGGCAAATAGCATGCACCAAGGCACCTCCCCTTGGATGTGACGCGACAATACATCCATCGCCAAGGCAAATAAAAATGGGCTAAGATCTGATCCCTGGTGCAACCCCATCACCACAGGGAAATGCTCTGAGTCACCACCCCCAGTCCTCACCCGAGTCTTAGCATTATCATGCATATCCTTAATCACACTAATGTACACTACAGGAACACCGCTAACCTCCAAACACCTCCACAGTACCTCCCTTGGAACTTTATCGTATGCTTTCTCAAGGTCAATAAACACCATATCCAAATCCTTCTTCCTCTCCCTGTACTGCTCCACTAGTCTCCTTACCAGATGAATCGCTTCCGTAGTCGAACGCCCCGGCATGAATCCAAACTGATTCTCGGAAATAGACACGCACCTCCTCACCCTAGCCTCCACCACCCTCTCCCAAACCTTCATAGTGTGACTCAACAGCTTGATACCCCTATAATTATTGCAATTTTGGATATCACCCTTGTTCTTGTAAAGCGGAACCATCGTACTCCACCTCCATTCTTCGGGCATGTTCTTTGTCTTAAAAATAACATTAAACAGCCCAGTGAGCCACTCCAAACCTGCCCGCCCCGCGCTCTTCCAGAATTCCACCGGGATTTCGTCTGGCCCCGTCGCTCTACCCTTGCACATCTTACGCGTTTCCCCTTCTACCTCCTCTACCGTAATCCGCCTACAGTACCCAAAATCCGGCCGACTCTTGGAGTGCTCCAACTCACCCAGCACAATGCGTCTATCCCCCTCCTCATTCAACAATTTATGAAAGTATGTCTTCCATCTTCTCATAATAAGTGCCTCGTCCAACAACACTTTTCCATCCTCGTCCTTGATGCACTTAACTTGGTCTAAGTCGCGGGCTTTCCTCTCCCTCGCCTTGGCCAACCGGTACAGCCTCTTGTCCCCGCCTTTGCCCTCGAGCTCCTTGTACAAACGAGCAAACGCCGCGTTCTTAGCCGTCGCAACTGCTAACTTCGCCTCTTTCTTTGCCTTTCTGTAACACTCCCGATAAGTCCTTTTTTTCTCCTCGTTTGTACTCTCCACTAGCTTCAAATAAGCAGCTTTCTTAGCTTCCACTTTACCTTGAACCTCTTCATTCCACCACCAATCCCCTTTATGACACCCAGGAGAGCCCGTTGTGACCCCTAAGACCTCTCAAGCAGCTACCCTAATGCAATCAGCAGTAGTGCCCCACATACTAGACGCGTCCCCCCTACTCATCCAGGCCCTCATAGCCAACAACTTCTCCCCTAACTCCTGAGGACTCAATTTGCCCAATGAACCGAGGACTCAATTTGCCCTTCTTCCCAAATCTCATAACACCCTTCATGGGTGAAACCTTCAGTAGAACCTTCTCCCTAACTATGTAAGATACATCACGAACCTTCCTGTCAGCACAACTCTTTTGTCTCGACTGCGTTGTACAAAGACGCTCCTGAATCACTTTCAGCTTATCCAAAGCATCCTGTACCAAGTCTGTACCCAAAAGCCTAGCCTCTCCCGGCTCAAACCAACCCACTAGAGATCTACATCGCCTCCCATATAAAGCCTCATATGCAGCCATCTGAATACTCGACTGATAAGTATTGTTATATGCAAACTCTACGAGCGGTAGAAACTGGTCCCGTAAACCCCCAAAATCAATGACAGAAGTGCAACATGTCCTCCAATATCTGAATAGTGCGCTCGGATTGCCCGTCTGTCTAAGGGTGAAAAGTTGTGCTCAACTCAACCTGAGTACCCAACTCCCGCTGCATGGCCCTCCAAAACTGCAATGTAAACTGTGTACCTCTATCTAAAATGATGGAAACCGGGACACCATGCAGGCGACAATCTCTCGGATATAAATCTCAGCTAACCGCTCTGAAGAATAGGTAGTACACACAGGAATGAAGTGCGCAGACAGTTGATCCACAATCACCCAAATAGCATCGAACTTTCTCAAAGTCTGTGGGAGTCAAACTACGAAATTCATGGTGATCTGCTCCCACTTTCACTCCGGAATATCCATCTGCTGAAGCAAGCTGCCCGGTCTCTGATGCTTATATTTCACCTACTGACAATTGAGACACCAAGCTACAAACCCCACTATATCCTTCTTCATTCTCCTCCACCAATAGTGTTGTCTCAAATCCTGGTACATCTTCACGGCACCCGGATAGATGGAATATCGCGAGCTATAGGCCTCCTCTAGAATCAACTCTCGAAGCCCATCTACATTAGGCACACATACCTGGCCCTGCATCTTCAATACCCCGTCATCACCAATAGTCACATCTCTGGCATCGCCGTGCTGAACTCTGTCCTTGAGGACAAGCAAATGAGGATCATCATACTGGCGCTCTCCGATACGATCAAACAAGAAAGACCGAGAAACCACACAAGCTAAGATTCGACTGGGCTCCAAAATATCCAACCTCAGAAACCGATTGGCCAAGGCCTGAACATCAACTACAAGAGGTCTCTCCCCAACAGAAATATATGCCAAACTGCCCATACTCACCGCCTTCCTACTAAAGGCATCGACCACTACATTGGCCTTTCTCGAATGGTACGAGATAGTAATATCATAGTCCTTTAGCATCTCCAACCATCTCCGCTGCCTCAAATTGAGATCCTTCTGTATGAACAAGTGTTGGAGGCTACGATGGTCAGTAAACACCTCACAAGACACACCATAGAGATAATACCTCCAAATATTCAATGCATGAACAATGGAAGCCAACTCTAAATCTTGAATAGGGTAGTTCTTTTCATGGGGCTTCAACTGACGAGAAGCATAAGCAATCACTCTATCCTCCTGCATCAACACACACCTGATGCCGACCCAAGAAGCATCACAATATATTGTATAAGAACCTGAAGCTGATGGAAAAACTAACACTGGAGTTGTGGTCAAGGCAGTCTTGAGCTTCTGAAAGCTCGCCTCGCTTTCATCCAACCACCTGAGAAGAGCACCCTTTTGAGTCAACTTGGTCAAGGGTGATGCAATAGATGAAAATCCCTGAACGAACCGACGGTAATAACCCGCCAAACCAAGAAATCTACGAAGCTCAGTGGCTGAGGACGGTCTGGACCAACTCTGAACCGCATCTATCTTCTTCATATCAACCTGAATACCCTCACTAGACACCACGTGCCCCAAGAACGCAACTGAACCGAGCCAAAACTCACACTTGGAGAACTTTGCATAAAGTTTCTCCTCCCTCAACCATTGCAACACAACTCTCAAATGCTCAGCGTGCTCCTCATGACTACGCGAGTACACCAGAATATCATCAATGAAAACAATCACAAAAGAGTCGAGATAAGGCCAAAACACGCTATTCATCAAATGTATAAACGTTGCTGGGGCATTGGTCAGCCCAAAAATCGTAAGGAACTCATAATGACTATATCGGGTCCTGAAAGTTGTCTTAAGAATGTTCGAGTCCCTGATTTTCAACTAGTGATACCCTGACCTGAGATCAATCTTGGAGAACACTCTCGCTCCCTGAAGCTGGTCAAATAAATCATCAATACAAGGCAAAGGATACTTGTTCTTGATTGTGACTTTGTTCAACTGCCTGTAACCAATGCACATCCTCATCGTGCCATCCTTCTTCTTAAATAGAACAGGCGTGCCCCAAGGCGACACACTAGGCCGAATAAACCCCTTATTAAGGAGTTCCTGAAGCTGCTCCTTCAACTCTTTTAACTCTGCCGGTGCCATACGATACGGTGGAATAGAAATGGGCTGAGTGCCCGGCACCAAGTCAATACCAAAGTCTATATCCCTGTCAGGCGGCATGCCCGGTAGGTCTGCAGGAAACACATCCTGATAATCCCTCACTATCGAAACTGAATCAATGGAAGGGTCTCTGCACTGACATCCATCACAAAGGCCAAATAAGAAAGACATCCCTTCCCAACCATCCACTGGGCCTTCAAAAATGAAATTACCCAATTGGGAACATAATCCGTCGAACCTCGCCACTCAATCCATGGCTACCCCGGCATAGCCAACATCACTGTCTTAGCATGACAGTCCGAAATAGCACGGCACGGAGACAACCAATCCATGCCCAATATCACATCAAAATCAACCATCTAAGTAACAAAAGGTCCACTCGGGTCTCCAAACCCCCGATGGTCACCACACACGACCGATATACGCGATCCACAACAATGGTATCGCCCACTAGAGTAGATACACAAATAGAAGAAACAAGAGACTCGTGGGGCGTATCTAAATAATGAGCAAAATATGATAACACATATGAAAAAGTGGAACCAGGATCAAATAATACAGAGGCATCCCTGTGGCAAACTGAGATAATACATGTGATCACAACATCTGAAGCAATAGCATCTGATCTGGCTGGGAGTGCATAGAAACGGGCCTGACCACCACCTTATCGACCTCCCCCTCTGGGACGATCCCTGGCTTACTGTCCTCCACCCCTAGCTGACTGGGTGGGTAGTGAAGTAACTGGTGCTGAAGTCGATGGCTGACTCCTCTGCTGAGGCGGACCCCATGATGACGAGGATACTGCCTCAACTTGTGTCCCAACTCTCCACACTTATAACAACCACCTGGTGCTGGTGACGGGAACTGAAGTGAATCCCTAGCATCGGGATGACTAGTAGAAGAACCTGGCATGGAAGAGCCCTAAACTGATGGAGCACGGGACGAACTCTGGGCTGGGAGAGCACTAAGTGATGAATGGCCCTGATGAGAACTGTGAGAACCATGGCCCGATTATGCCCCATGGTGAACCGGGCGAGCTGACTGAGCATGTATGAATGGACGGCCTCTGCCGTGCTGAAACTGACCCCCATGAGAAGCACCCCCAAAACTACCAGATCTACGAGGCCTCTTGGCCTCCCTCTCCACTTGCTCCTGTTGGCAAATCAACTCTATGTCTCGAGCGATGTCAACAACCTCCTCAAAAGAAGCACCAAATACCCTCTCTCTGGTCATAAGAATCCGCAACGGATACGAAAGGACATCCACGAACCTCCTGATCCTCTCCCTGTCCGTGCGAACCAACCAGATAGCATGACGGGCTAACTCAGAGAACCTCATCTCGTACTGTGTCATAGTCATATCATCCTGACACAATTGCTCGAACTGCCTATGCAGCTCCTCTCTGTGGGACTGTTGGCACATACTGTCACGCCCCAACCTCGGGAGGCGCGACCGGCGCTCGATCGAGTGAACCCAACCGAGCAAGCCTTATCACACACTTCCTACCCCACTCTTCATGAATAAGATGGCCATGTTCCCTTTTTATTTAGGCAAGGAAAGGTAGTATATTCTACAGTGATAGTTCGTTCCATATTACAAGCTTAAACCATAGTTAAAGTTAATTTCCGGAATTTCCATAAAGTTACAATTTATAGAAAGAAGGAGTTTATAATTACAACATAGTTCATGAGCCCCACAACACCCATACATGACCCACACATATGTCTACAGATCCTCTAAGGATACAAAAGATGAGTACGACAATGTCGGCAACAAGGCCCCGGCTATACCTCAAAATGGAAATCCACGTCAACAAAAGATATACAATACAACCCCTTGAAAGAGGAAGGGGCTCACCAAGACTTTGAGGAGAAGGTAACCTGCTATGCGCGATCGGCACTATCCGCAATGGAGCCACCTACATTCATTTAAAAATGTAGCGCCCCCGGCAAAAGGGACGTTAGTACCATGGAATAGTACTAGTATGTATAACTAAACACAATTTTACTAGAAAGAACTATCAAACAAGAACAAGAAAATCACAAGAGTAATTCAAAGGCTTTAACCGGACACCACATCATCACATAAATGAACCATACAATATTCCACATAATTTCCATAATTCGATCTGGGGCATTTCTCCCATATACACATCACTATTCTCAACACCACCGCTATCTTGAGCAGAGTCCGATCACTACCCGATCGGCTAGGTCACCTCATTCGAGACATGTACCTCAGTCATCAATTCATTTCCCTTTTCCGAAATTCAACATTTTGCACATCACCACCATGTGTGCGGCATGGTGTCCGACCACAGCACGATCGGCTAGGCCGCCTTACCTAGGCGTTGTTCCTTTCTCATTATTCATCTCATTTGATTCTTTATTTCACATATATCATTTCTATTCATTGGCACTTAGGGCCATAATTATCCCATCTTTTCCATTTTCAATGTCCATCTAGCAATTTGTGATCATAGGCACATACAGAAGCAATTCAAGTGGCAAACACAAGTAGGATTTCACATAATTAGCACGGCAATCTCGGTTTAAATCTTGGCTTATAGCCCAGGCATGTCAACACATGATTTGTATTCTTCACACACCTTTAAATATCAAGGATAGTTTATTACACACGTTAAGGCACATTCTTCATGTTGATATATATACAATTGCAAACCAACTCATATGAAACAATAATCGGTACATCAACAAGTTCTAGTCTTACCACATTTGCGTAAACGCCAACGGAGCTCAATTTCTAATAAAAGGGGATTTTAGCCATACATACCTCAATATAGCTTTCCTTAATCCTTACGAAATTTCAGAACTCTTAGCACTTCAATCTATTGTGTAAGAATTACAAATTGAACCGAGAATTAGAGACGAGATTGAGATTCTAGCTTGGTTCGAGCATATCATCAAACACTAAAGGCGCATTGTGATCTTAGCCCCTTTTTGTGAGGAATTTCTATCATTTTATACTCCCAATTGCCTTCTTTTTAGTTTTCTACCTTCCAATATCCTATGGGGTAATATGCATGCAAGAATTTCATTCTTATACTCATGAATTACTTCACTACTGGCCCCTTATAGCTAAGTATAGAAATAAGAGTTGTGGTGGTAAATTCTTACCTCTTGGGATGAAGATTTAGGTGTCTTCACTTGATTATCTTCAATGTTTTATCAAGGTTTCATGGAGTAATTTGATGGGAGACACTTTCTCTCTCTAAGACCCTCTCTCTCTCTCTCTAAAAGCCTCAGAAAATATGCTAAAAATGAGCTACAATATCGAATATATCGATAGGGGGTCGGGTTTAAAAATTAGAAAATTGGAGCCCCGAGTCAGGTTTGCGATCGCAAAGTGGAAATGCGGCCCACAGAATGGACCGCAAAAGTGCTCCCAAAATCTGATCATTCTGTCTGGGTTTGTGGCAGAAATGCGGTCCGCATACCCGTTCTGCGGTCGCATAATGCACCGTAGAACTGCCCTTTACAAAATTCCAAGATAAT